GAGTTTCAGCTCCTTCTGGTGTTTCCAGTTTACTGAGGGGGCTGATTCTGCTCTGCAAGAGACAAAGTGGACAGTCTCTGCAAAAACAAAATGACATTCTGCATTCCTCCATGAAAATGATATTCTCTTACAGCATCAAACTGTACAAGAAAAATGTTCTACAACAGTGGTTCTCAATCCCCAGTCTGCTAATTTGTGTTACATCTGGGCCCTTATTCACCAATGCTAATTGCTTGCCAAAAATTGATCTGCTTGCTGGATTAGAATTTTCTCTTCAGTCAGGCCTTGGTTTCAAGAGTACCCTAGTTATAATGAGTTACGTGTTTGGAAGCACACAAAAGCCTCGCTCCTTCTCTCCTCAAAGTGCTAATTAAAAATTTGCTCTCTTACTTCTGATTAAACAACTCTTAATAGGTGAACAGAGGATGACAGACACAGGTAGGAATCACACTCCATCAGAATACTCCTCAATTCAGTGTTTTCCCTCTGCTTATGTCCAATTGGTGATATTTATAGAAGAAAGCATGAATAAAGGCAATGCTGAAATTCACCGATTAGCACAGGGCTCATAGCCAGTATAAATCTCATTCCGTTTTTCTTTAAGGATCTGAAAACAAATTTTGTAAAAGGCTTCAAAACCCAGAAGAGACAGCAGTTACTCAAGACAAGGACTGCAAAGTAGTGGGGATATTTTCAAAACCAAGGACTGAGTAAAAAAAAAACAAGCAAGCAGATCAATTAATGACAGTGATTAACAGTGGTAATTAAGGGCCCCATTGGAACAAAAACCAGCAAATACAAGGGTACTCCAGGCCCAGGACTGAGAACCACTGTTCTAACTTAACAAATGAAAGAAATCCATTTGGCTTTCAGTTGCTTGGTAACTGATCCACAAATTCAGCCCAGGCTTTCCTTGAAAGATCTCAAGAGTACAGAACATCTTTATATTGCCTCTTTCACTCAGTTTCAGAACAGAAAATGTCTCTGCCATCACGTGTGAGCAGTCTTTTCACAACAGAATCGTACCGTACCCAAAAGCCCTGTCTTGGCATCAGAGTAGCAATTTTTATTTGCTGCTAGGTCTTCTACCGAAAAAGGTCAGATATCTTTATTTCCAAAATCATTTCAAAACTGGAGTCTACGGGGCTTGCAAGAGTACATTGTAAGCAGTTAAGTAAGCCTTTTGTCCCCAGTGAAAGGATGATGCGTCACCCGATTTTCCAAAAGAATCCCTTTTGGTACAATACCTCAACAACAAATGCGAAGCACACGTCAGTGGGACATCTGTCACACGCAGGAGAGAGGAATCTTAAACTCTACCACCACCAGCTCCCAGTCTCTTAGCTCTTCATATCTGTCCAGTGAGCTGCAAACAGAGTAAGAACAGCTTGGGGGAACCCTTTGACCAACACATTTTTTGGGGATCTTTCACGACGCTGTGTCAGACATACCCACAATGAGCAGTTTTCCTTCTGCAGGGGGCCAATTGGTTACATTCCAAGCAACCTGAAGGAAAGCAGACCACACAAATCCCCTACAAATATGCCCAAATTAAAAAAACTGCAAGCAATTAGCCTGTGATTAACAATTCAACTGAAGCAAATACCAGAGCTGTTCCTACAGGACCAGTGCCAGTTTGAACCTGGCTGCAGCGTGAAACATATACAGCCTAAGCGTCCATTCAGCAGATTCGCACCGACAAACCAGGTTCTTTCACTAGACCAGTCCCCAGATGTCGAACAGATTACGGCTGAAAGAGAATTAGCTATTAAGGCTTTTTCGTTTTACATCATGTTTCATGATTAGTCTCGTTTGTATTTTAACAGGACTCCAAAAGAGAACAAAAGTTAAGAAATCATATCTGAGGAGACATCAGCTGAACCAACCAATGTATATCATTGCAGGTGTATTTAAATATATCCAGTAGTACAATGGTTCCCAGCCTTGCTGGTCTTCCTTCCAACGGAGCTCTTACACTCCAGTGCGAATTGAGGACTTGCCTTAACAAGCATGCAGTTATTTAACTTTATCTGACACTTCAGTCATGGTCCAAAATACCATTTCCAACAACTTCAGCATACAGACTTACACACAGCCCTTCCTAAACTCTCCAACAATTTTGTTTCTGACTGGAATGCTCTTACCTGCAGTGTGTTTTCACACAAAGGGTTGTGTAATTGGTTGTGTAAACCCAGCAAACTGCTGGATAAGATCCATGCTAACTACAGGTACCAAACAGATAAGATGAGCCAGTGCCTCCTCTCTTTTCTAATCATTAGTCTTAAATCTGAAAGACAATTGGATGTATGCAATTTCAGATTCACTCTCAACAACACAAACTGCACTGTGCACAGGAATTCACCATTACTACTTTGTTTTTACACTGCAAAAAATAAATTCCATGCAACTAGTTATGGCAATAGAGTATTGAACTTGAAAAGCCGTGTGTGGAGGGACTGAAAGAAAGAAAACTGAATTCAGTCTTGTAATGCCTTACAAAAAAAAAATTTGTGTTCCACTCAGAAGTAAAATCCATATTTTAAACTGGTAGCTATTGTTGAACTATTTCTGACTTACAAAATTAGAACATTACTAGTGCAGTTTTTTTCAGTAAAAGACTGAGCTGAATAATGCATGCATTTAAGTCTAAACATATTGAAAATTCATAGTTTAGTGCAGCACTGCTCAAGAGATTTACGGTTTGACAGGCTAATTTACATACTGTTGATCTTGTGACATCACACACAAAGGGCACACGGATCCTACAGTATGAGAGACCGAGCTCCAACATTTTAAAATTAATTTAGTTGCTTCTTGGCTTTGAATACACAACCCAGACTGCATCCATAAGCCTACATAAGACTGAATGAGGAAGATAAAAGGGCATTTTTGATAACAAGCACCAGTCTCTGAAAGACATTGAGGTTATAGCATATTGAAGAGAGGACTTGAAGACCAATGTATTTACATGAAAAATAGCTATACCTTTTAGCGTCATTATTTTTTTAATGAACAAGACACTGAAACACGCACAGGATGTCTGCCAGGTAAAGTAGTTAAGCTTTCTTCTGCTCACAAGACAAAAGCAAAGCAAAATAAACAGGAAAATAGTTGATATAGTACAGCTCTCTAATATTTTCTCTACACCATCCATTTGTGCTTAAATGAAACCTTAATGAATTTAAGGAGAGCAAAAACATTTTATAGTATGTCGCCAAGCTACACAGAAACATCTATTTTTGGGGATGAAACTTTAAAACACAGCCATCACATGTACGTCTTGTGCATGCGCTATTTAATTCAAATATTCCCATCAAAATAGTTACTGGTTGACATTAGGTAATTTAAAAATAATCGTAGGATGAATAATGTCAAAAAACAGCTTGTGGGCTTGACTTCCATTAAATGTAATTATCTATCATTCTAGGTGTCAACTTTACACTATTCACTGAAAATAAGTTGTATTTTAACCATTTAGATTTCAGCTTTATCAGGGCAGTGATGGCACCACACATGTAGACTATTAAAAAGTATTAATGACAACGTATTTCAAAGTTCGGTGGAGTTGTAGACTAATAACTAGAAAATGCATCTAGTTCTTGCAGTTCTGATGAAACTATTAGAGATTCTTCTGTATTTTGCATTTCACAAAACACATCTGCTGTAAAGGAGATGCCTTATGGTGCCCCTCTCAATGGAATACTAGACAGGATCAGTGACTTTACCAAAGCCTACAGTACATGCAGCTGCAAGAGCAATGAATATTAACTCCAGGCATTGTATTTGTACATAAAGAAATCAGAAAGCAAGATGTTTGTTTTTTTTTTAAATACCACCAGCAACTAAGTAATACTGGTATTTACTATCAAACCAAAGCATACTTAAAATAGTGCCATTTGATTCCCCTGGCTAATTCCAAAATCCTTCAGTCTCCTGTCCTTGCCGTTGAAAGGATGGGTCACTGCTTCCACTCGTTTGTAATCTTTCTGAGTTAATGCATGACTGGATATCTGGAATTTCAGATTCCCTTTTTTCCCCCCCAACAATAATCACATGGCATCCTAACACATTATTTTTTCCCCACACAGGGCAGCATTTTGCTGCAGGAGAGCTGAAAATAAACACTCATCATCTAAGATACTGTACAAAACAAGCATGGAAAGTGGGAACACGTGATACAGAAAAACATCCCCTCAATATGTAAAAGAGCAGCAGTACTCCTGGCCCATTACACCCCTCAATAAGATGTGTGAACTCCCTCGGATGGGGTTCCCAGTCAAGTGTTCACTGGATTCTCCTCCACATTGCCATCTCGGTACCGACAATGGCTGTTGACGGTTTCCAAGAGGGAGTGGACACATTTAAAATACTATTTCCTGTACATATGGTTGCTGTTCTGTATGTAGATGAAGGTCTTTTGTCTTGGTGTACATAAAACACTACGCCAAATCTAGACCGTATATTCCAGACACAATCGTATAATACTGAAGCCTGTTCATATTTTCTGTGATCAAAGCTACCCTCAGCTACTTTTGTCAAGACAAAATTCCAGGGTTGCCCCACGACAGCAGAAGCCTTTGACAGAGCAGACGTGAACAGAGGCAGCCAACCAGTCAGCTGCTCTTGGCGCAGCCTATGAAATGAGCACGGCCAACGCTGCAGAAAAGTCAGGGAAACCAGCGAGATCAGCCACTGAACAAGCAGTTCCTGCAGGTGAACCTTGATCGGCTTAAGCAACACCCCCCACCACCCCCACCCCAAGATGTACTGCTTCTAAAAGGCTCTGCCGGGCCTCAAACACCGCCGCGCGCTCTGAAATCACAGGAGACCGCGCGCGGCTCGTCGCGCTCGATTCTCGTAAAGAGGAGCGAACCGCTCGTCGCTGTCTTGGGTCGCGGTCAAGTCATTTAAAAAAATATCGAAAAAACAAGAGAACACAGGCAAAAAAAAAAAAACGAACAAAAAACTGCCGCGTGCCAGATTAATCCCATCCCGCTTACCCAGATAGAGGGACGCGTTCTCCTTCTTGACGTTGTCATCCAGGTAGGTGGGCCCGAGGGTGTAGATGGGCGTGGAGCCCATCCCCACCAAAATCTGGGCGCAGATGAAGAGCGCCACGTACAGGGAGTGGTCGTTGCCCGCTTGCTCCCGGGGGCAGGCGCCCGAGTCCAGAAGATCCCTGCCCGTGCCGTTGGGGCTGGTGCACAGGCCCTCGTTGCTGGTGGAGGAGTTCACCTCTTGAATTTGGTAGGGGGGGGAGATGAAGTGGGGCAGGGAGAAGAGGGCCGCCCCCACGGCGATGAGCACGCCCCCCACCGCCAGCCAGCGGGGCCTCTGGCCCCGGCCGCCGAAATAGCTGATGAAGACCACCACCAGCAGGCTGCCAATGTCGAAACAGCTCACCAGCAGCCCGGACTCCGAGCTCCTCAAGCTGTACCTCTTCTCTATGGTGGTGATAACACTGCTCAGGTAGCCAGACACCATGAGGGACTGGATGAAAGTCAGATAGCACATGCAGAACAAGAAACACCGGGAGTCTGAAAGAATGACGCCTATGTACTTCTTACCAGGAAAGCGGATCAATTTCGAAGGGGAAAAACCTCGTTTCTCGTTCTTGACATTGCTATACTCCACCTTAGCGACGCTGTTCCCTCCAACGCTGCTGGACTTGGAGGCTGAGAATTCGGCCCTGGCAGGAGAACCTGAGTGGCACGCATCAGCTTTCTGCTGAAGGTCGCTGAGCAAAGTGCCCTGGTCAACCAGTACCGACGTCTGCGATGTGTTTATTAATTTTGACGGCAGGTCCTCGCTGCTCAGCCCGCAAGAGCCGTTGAGGATGGGCAAACTTTTGGATTTGAAGCAGTTTCCTGGGTCTCCATACTGAAGTTCATGTGTATCAAGACCATCTGATAAGTCGCCTCCATTCTCTTCATTATCAGATGAAGCCATTATGAAGCAGATTATATTTTGTTACAGACTAAATCTGTAATGGCTCAAAACAGACCATAGAATTAAATAACTACCACCAGTGGTAGCATATATTACGTCTGTTAATTAAAATAAGTGTGGGACCCTGCAAAAAAATAAACAAAAGTGAGGGTCTCTAACTGCATCATTTATCTCCATTTCCTCTTGATGAGGAGTATGTTCTTATTTCCATTTGTGAACTCCATCTGATACGTAAACCCCCACTAATTCGCTCTACACCAGAAAAAGGAGCCGACGACAATACCTTTTCATGTCCCTTTAATTCTTATTCGCTGATATCGTACATTAAAGCGCTCCATGTCTCCTTGAAGAGCTGAATTGCTCTCAATTGCTTTCCAGAAGAGGACAAGCCAAGAAGGAAAAGCATGAAAAAGTCACGGATGGTTGGTTCACACCGCTGATATATACATAACGGCTTTCGGTCGTCTTTTTAAGCGTTTTCTTTTTTGTTTCTCAGAACAATAACGCTGTGAATGCCCCTGCTGTTTTCTCGGGGTGTGATTTTACACCTCTTCGTTATTTATCACTGTCTCAGGTCCGATGGTTGGATCCCTGCATGACTGTGTCCTAGTAGTGCGGACTCCTAGAGCAAGCATAAAAATTACTAGCATCACCATTCAGTCTACATACAAGGCATTTCTGCATGCATTTAATAAAATATGTTGCAGGTGCCATCCGTATTTTACGATAGATACCCAGCTACATTTCAATTAAACGTTTCCCGAGTTACTAAAGTGCCATGAAGCCTGATTTATTTATTAACGCCTCGTTTCGTATTGCAAACAATGAAGTCACGAATAATGCAGGCAGATGCCACGACAAACGCATGAAATCGCATAGAACGGTACCAACCTGTCTATTCTGACAAATCGTTATGGGAAGGAGTCGTGTTAACATCAAACATCCCGTATTTCTACTGCACGAAGAAATAAATATATGTGCATAACAAAAACCACTATTGCATTTGTCTCAGCGATCTGTTGTTACTCACACAGAACAAGAGGAGGTAGGCTGTTGTTGTCCCCGAGCCGGCTACTCAGTGAATGAGATTGCGGATAGCAAATGTTAGAGCTGCTGGGCTTCATGTACCGCTGTACAGTAGGTAAACGGGAAATGTAGTCTTTACAGACTGAAAAATAAAGCCGGCAGTCACATTCCCTTGGAGTAATTATGTATTTCTTCTGTAGCTTTCAAGCAAAATAAAACACCACAAGCATTCCCAGTGATAAATACTGTACGAAAACATAAACCACGGGAGAAACTCGTTTTGTTTGTTTCAGGCAAAAGGGGGCACTTTTTCCTTCAGAAACTACAAGTTCCAAGATGCTTTGTCTTCCAGCACGTGAGTGTCTGCTTTTCTCTACATCACGTGTAGTTAAACAGCTGAAACCCACGATGACCTGGGTTGTGATTGACGACTGGAACCGGCCATTTAGGAAATTGTTGCTAAGGAAAGAATTGTTCTTGAATCGTTGCATATAGATGCAAGCGCAGTTCTTGAATCATACCACATTGGTACCAATATAACCCCTTTGCAATGTGTAAAATTAGTTTTTCCCTGGGATAAATTACGAGGCTAAATTGCTCTTGATAGTTTTCGGTAAAGGTTGAATCTTCATATATAAATTATATCAAAGTAAGGCAACATTGATGTGTGCTACAGTGACACCTTGCCATAGTGTAAGATACACAGGAAACAGAATATTTATATTTGTCTGAATTGTACAGTATATATTATCCCAGCAAGTAATGGGTGCAAAACAGGCTACTGTACATCCTGGACAGGACGCCAACCCATCACAGAAACCAACTTCAATCATTTCAACACTGTAATATTATTCTCTACAATTAAAGACATTGATTTCATGGTGGGTAATACTGTACACTTTCATTTACTATCACTAATTAAAATGAAGGCAAATGTATAGAACTGAATTTGGATTCCTGATACGATCTGAACCCTTCCTTATAAGAGTAAGTATGGAGATTTGGCAACTACAGAGTAGAAAGCTGTTGAATATAAGCCTTTTGTCAACACTGTCATAAAAAAGTCTCAGGTCCTGATCCCTAGTGATTGATACTTAAATAGGACTGTAAAAACTTTGGCGGTAAACTGTTAGATTTGTCTTGTATTCACAGCTAAAGACAAACTGCAACCAGAGAGAAAAAGGAAAAAGGGAAATATTCCTTCCTATTCTAACATTGTCTGTGTGACTATAGTCTGTGGTTATTGAAAGCAAGTTTTACTCATTTTGATTTTGGGTCTCTATCCTGTGTTTCAGATCTGGATTAGAGAAATGAAAAGAGCTTATGCAGACTTTATGTATAAGGGTAAAGTATGCTAAGAGTTAAATTAAAACTTTTACCCCCCAAAACCTTTCTGACATTACTCGCTGAGTGGTTTTGAATGCAATACAACATATAATTTTATTGGTGGGTTTAACAACCACAGAGGAAATTGCCCTTAATCTCTGGATAAACTTATTTCAGCCACATTGCGTTGGTGGCTAAATGTATTTAGGGACACAGTTTGTCTTGAGTTGCCAAAGGTGTGGGTTCATGTGCATTAAAGTCCTGGGATCTGGTCTCTGCTTTCCTGGCCAAGAGTCTGTTAGAGTGAGTTATCGGTTAACAGCATTTTTAGTCTTATTTTGTTCATTTTCTATTTTAGTATTTGAGCTCCACGCATTAAAAAAAATTGTTGTTGTTGTTTCTGTTGTTTTCCATGTTTTTTTTTATTCTCTTTGGAAAAAATAAACACCAAAAAGTGACTCATCAGCACACAGCACCTGACACATGAGTTGTTTCTGGATCTTGGTGCATCATAATGACCAGTGAAAGCAGGTGAAGAAGGCTCCACAGCCGAAATACGGTGTAAATTTACTTTACTTTCGTCGTGGAAAAAACCTTTAGCTGTTCCTTTACATCACCAGTGTCCAAGTGGGAAAAAGTTTTACAATCCTAGTGTTGGCATTGAAAGATCAGCTGGGTTATATCAGCAATTCAGTTCAGTTTCAGTTATCTTGCACATATTTCAATAGTAAGAGTACACATCAGAAAATAAACCTTGTACAGCTAGAGTATAGAGACAAATAATGTGTAAATGCCCTTTCTTCCTTAGAGAAAAAAAAAACTTTAACCGTTCAGTATAAAAATCAGCTAAAGCGTAGGTTACTAATATGGACAACGTGGATCTCTTATTTTCAGCTTGTCGTCCCAGTTTATCTGCGAGATACTATGAGAACTGACAGATTAAACCTCTCTTTTATCAGGTTTGACCTTTCTATACCAGCAAAGTACAGGCTGTCCAAGGAAGAGTACAAGTTTATAATCAATTTGCTTGCTTACAGTAAGTCAAGCCAAAGCAGCTGCTCCTCTGTTGCACTGAAAAACGATCCCTTGTACTGCACCTAGAAATGGACTGGGAAACTCAGGATCTCATGCTTTCCAGCAATGATGTGAGCCTGCACAATTTTACTGCTCTGCCATTGCAACAGCTGAGCGGACTTCAGAAAACCTACATGACTGGGAATGTTTAATAACCTGAACGCACCTCATTATGACAGTAAGAGAGAATCCTTACTTATCTAAAACCTGGCCTTTGGAGAGCGGTGTTATGGTCTTTAACTGGAAGTGAATTGCAACATAGAATGAACGAGACTACAATTTCACATGACAAACTGTGCAAAGAAATTCACTGATAAGAAAGGGCCAACAAATTCTAAAACGTTGGTCCACATCTCTTAACCCATAAAGAAAAACAAAACTTTCATAATCTACCCATGTAACAATTTAATAAGTATTCTGAATAATTCAGCATTCTCTGCTGCAAAAACACTTTGCTTAAGCATGAAAGAAAATGCCTGAGCCATTGTTGTTGAAATTGTTGGTGTAATAGAGTTTTAATTCTAAACCAGCAGGGTCCATGTTAAATCATAGTGTGCCTCGACCATCCTGGTTCGTCCTCCATTAATACACGTAATCCTGTAATGGCTGCAAATCTTTATAAACTTCTTACATAAATATTTTAGAAATTGAAGAACATGTGATATTTTGAACTGGAATTATGCTGTTGATCAGTAAGAAAACTGGTAGGATTCCTGGGAAAAATTAGGTAGAATGTTCAGCTCAGAGTGGAACATGCTGAAGGTCAGACATAGCTCACTCTCAATGCAATTTGTCTCAGGGAGCTAAAGGAATGGCGTCATCAGTAACACAGTACAATGCCAAATTCCTCACCATAGTTGGCATCCATTAGTATTTCAAATTAAAGCTGTCCTGATCCATTTTGTGGGTCAAGCAGTCAGAGGCTTGCTGCAATTACCAGCAGAGAGCATGGGCACAAGCAGTTTTAAAGGAAAACTATTTTAACAGATGTAATATTTCCAAAATGCTGCAGCAACTTAGAATATGAGGGTAAAATAAAGCCATTTTTGCTTAGAAATTAATCTGTTAATCTCTGAAGATAGAGTAAAACAATTTCAACACAAATTTTTCAAAAAAAAATTTTTCTAAGAGCCCATGGCCAACAGAAGATAGCTGTTCTGCCCTTTTTATTATAAATCTTTCATCCAAATTACTTATCTTTAAGGCAGCTGAGCGAGATGTCACTCTTGTTGTACTTGACAGATGGAGCATCTTAAAGCACTGTGGAAAGGACCCATTTCACCCACCACTGAAGAGCTGCACCCCCCGGGTGACACCAGACATAAACAACAGCAGCCCCACTGTAGGCCCACACAGAAGACCAAGTGGAAAAGTCCGAAATCACTTTGAGAGCTGAATTTTGGTGTAAAATTTAGAGATGCAGGACTGTACAAGACCAGAGTGAAATTCTGGCCAGGTTTCCAGGATTAACAGCCCCACTGTGGGCTTGTTAATGACCTAGTGGCCTGGACCAGAGTTAAACTTCTCACCCAAACTCCTACTGCACAGTGTTTCCGTCACCATTTCAGCACTTTGTCGCTGATTTACGTGTCCCACGTTTTTGTTTCCTAAAAACGGGAAAATGGTAACAAAACAAAACTGCTGCTTCCCGTTCTAAATACTTTACTGTAAACATCTAATTGAACGATATTAATTTGCATGCTTGTTTGGATTACTAAAATCATATATTTGACTCGGACTAAAACATTATAAAGTGTAGAAAATAAAAACTCTAAAATACAGCATCTTCCGATGGCTTCAGCGAATGGTAAAACAAGTTATGTTACAGTACGAAACTCCCGTTTCGCGTAGAAGTATTTGTCTCCACCTAGTGGTAATATTTTTGAGTTCTTAATATCACAATATCAATCAAACAAGCATGCAAAAAGTCTAAAACTCATTCTGCTTGTGACCCGGATTGTATTTGGACTAAAAGCGCAGCCCAACCACATCTTTTTAGTAGAGGCAGAAATTAAGAAAATTTAACAGACTTTTAACATAGAAAAATAGGACCTACCATTTTTTTCACCCTGCTCTATCAGATTGTAACAGGACCTGCCCTAAATTACATTTTTAAATTAAGTGGAAAAAATTGAAATGCGATGTTTAAACTTGTGTTTAAAAATGTCTGTTCGTGTTTACTGAAGGATGAATGAATTATTGCTACTTAATATACAAGGTGGTGTTATTACTTCACTGGCATTGAAAGGCTGGAGTAGTGAGTTTCTTCTATCATCAGCAGAGAAGGTTATAATTTGATTCAAAGACTCAAAGTCCTTGAAGATACCGACAACGCAAACCAAATTAGTTACTTTAGATTCAACAATAAAATGGGAACTTTGGGACACAAGTAAAATAAAGAGGAAGTGTAAATACAGATACTGTGAAACGTTAACACTCCTCGTCTTACAAACCATGCAGTGGGATCTTGACCTTGAATAGTCTAGTATCTCTCGGTTTAAGGTCTCCTGTTTTTTGGCGATGACAATAAATGTACCCTGTAAAAAGTAACGTTTATTAAACACTGTTTTTATGGACAGATATGGCTTCGGAATAGACTGCAAAGTAATTATATTTGGCCAAATTTCCCATTGGCCTTTACCAACCATGGCCGCCCATCTCTGAATTGGCTTCATCACGCTGTTCTCCTCCCCACTGAGAGCTGGTGTGTGGGGAGAGTACTGGTCCACTATGGCTGCTGTCGCATCATCCAGGTGGGGCTGCACGTTGGTGTTGGTGG